TGCATACCTGGTTTATGGCAGCAGCATAAATTTTTTCCTCAAATCTCACTGCAATTTTCTTAAGTTCCTGCAGTCCCTCTTGTCCAGAAAATGGGAGGTGCTTCTTTAAAGTATCCATTCTATACCATCATATTTCACACATCAATTATGAGAAGAGTGGATAAGGATATCATCCAACCTTACAAGTTTCAAGATAACTAGAACTCAAAGACATCACGAAGACATCGATATCCTTCACATATTACCCAAAACGCAATAATATCCCAAAAAAACTGAATTGAATTTGGTTTGCCAAAAAACGCAATAATATTCTGAAGTCTAAAATCTAGAATTAGTAGGCCTACTGGCGCCATGTTCCAAAATAGAAAAGGCATGGCTTTAGAAAAATTACATCTTGCTGACAATCCTTTGCCTGGAATCGTGCGGCAGTTGAGCCCGCCAATCGCCGGTCTCCATGGATCCGGAAGCAGGAGCAGCCCCACTGGCTGCTATGCCTGCGGCTTCACCACCCTGAGACTGAGCCAGAGGTTGCGCCGCTCTCCAACTATTGGCATCCATGCATTCAACTTTCTCCTACACCTTCAGCAATCGTCCAATCGATGTCAAAGAGACAGACACCAGATGGAAGAGTTGAAAAATCAATGGACTACTGGTACGGAGAGCCCTCAGACCGGATTGAACGGTACTTTGATAGGACGTTGATACTAATAAAAAGTAGCGTCTAATTTAATACGGGAGCATAGTTGATTTTTGCGCAACGTTCTCTACCATCTCTCATCCAAAATTATTTTGGTTGCACGTCAAACTTCTTCTTTTATTTTGGGCCCTCAATACACAGACTCGTCTTCTTTTTTATTAAAATGTATTATCTTTTTATATATTTTTAATCTAATAACGCACAAAGATTTAACATTTTCGTCTTTACTGAAGTTCAAATTTGGGTAAACTTCCGCATTAATCCTAAGAAATGGGCTTCGTACCACTCAAGTCGGGGGAGATTTTCACGGGCTCATATTTATTTGAATATAGTTCAATTTTATCACAAAAATAGAATAATAAAAAGAGAATTATCTAATAATGAAGACTAATATTAAAATATCTTTCATATATCAAAATAAATCTTAAAATTTTCCTAACAAAATAATACCTATATTGTCAAATAGTTTGAATATAGTGTCAAATTATTGTAAATTTTCTATATAAATATAGGAGATCTTATTTATTCTTATTTTGGTACTCCGTACGTATAAGTTTAACATTTTAGTCATAACTTATACTCGTAAGATTTTTAAAAGATTATAAAAATTTTCATAACTTATATACTCCCTTATAGAAGAATTTATCAAAATGCCCATAAAAAGTTAAGTATTTCGCATATTACAATGTAAGTGAGAATTAATTAAAATGTCCAGGCGTTTAATGATGACGTGATTCTTAAAATGAGAAACGGAAGCCAAGTAATGAAGCATTGACGTTGTTTCCATTTTAAATTTAAATTAGAAAAACAAGGATGGGTAAAACAACGTTGGATGAGAGTGAACTGAAACCCTCCAAAACTTATCTTTCTTCCTCGTGCAATATTATGCCCGGAAACTCGGCCTATCGGAATTAATTAATTCAAAATTGTTAATTAATTACTGAGACGGACTCGGTAGAATTATGAAATATTTTTCGTTTGATAAAAAGGTTTATAACGTTGTGTAGGATTTAATGGAACGAATCCAACGATGCAAATAGATTCGGATTTGGAGCCCGTGGGCCCAAAAAATATACATTTTAGGCCAAGTATGTTAATTAATAGGGAACCCAAAACCCCAAACCTATAAATAAACCCCTTACACACTTCTATAGTTTATGTAAACTCACCCCTATCTCTCGTTTCTTCTCTCGCGACCGAAGAATAGTAGAAGGACTCGAACAGCAGCAAAGAAGTAGAAAAGAAAGAGAAAAGAAGAAGAAAATAAGGAAGAAGGAAATAAGAGGAGTTTGACGCCGTGGTTTCTCGTTCGTTAGTAATATCTCGTAATATTAACCATCGTAATCGATGTGAGTACGTGATCATCAAACATATAGTTATATTTGTATGTTTGAATCTTACGTTTGTAAAATCGTTGAATTATATAAACCCTAAGCGAACCATGTCTTGTGTATGTTGTTTGGGGATTTTAGAAGCATGAATCCGACTAGATAAGTTACAGTTATGTTAGATAATGTTTGAATCTGGAAATAGCACCCATTGATGTTTGTTATTTTGTGTTTGATGTTGGTTTAATGTGGAAAATAGAGCTGGTGTAGAATAAGGCTTCGCCGCGACCGGCGGTAAGGCAGTTCCGTTGGCATGGTACCGAGCTACCTTCACTGTCTCTATTTTCCATTCTCTCTGCTGGTACCTGTCAACAAATGGTACCGCACGGATGGTAAGCCCTACCATCGGTTAGTACTCGGTAGAGGCTATCGTGACATGCCTAGCAGGTGGGGACAGTAGCTTCTATAGACGGTACCTACGTACCGTGAGACGGTACCTTGGCACCGTGCAGTCGGTATACCAACTACCGTTAAGGGTACCGTGAGGTACCTGGATGGGATGTCTATGTGCATGATATCGTATGATGATATGGGCTAATGAGATCGTCTATGGGTATAGATGTATGTTAGATATTTCTCACTTAGCTTCAATGTTGAGCATGTAGCATATGTTCTTTTGTTGCACGTAGGTAATCCAAGAAATAAGGAACTTAAAGCGAATCTCGGAGGTGGTGAGGATGGAAAGATGTGCGTGGCGGTGCTTGATGATTTTGAGTTATTATTTATTATTTAAATTAACTTATTACTTTTACAGGCATGATTCCCAACTTGTTTTTTGAATTATGAAATTCACATCTCAGTTCTAAAAGAGTCTTTAGAAGGCTATTGGTACCAAGATCAATTTCAGTACAACGTTTCACCCTTAGACGGATGGTAGTTTGAGAGAACGATTCAGATCTTGAAAGACATGATGAGAGCTTGCATCATCGACTTTAGCAATGATTGGTAGCGAGACCTACCATTAATGAAGTTTGCCTACAGCAACAGCTACCATGCTAGTATTCAGATGGATCCGTACGAGGTGTTGTACGGAAGACGATGCAGAACCCTGATCTGTTGGACCGAGATAAGTGAGCCCAAGCTCAAAGGACCTAATCTCATTCGTGAGGCAAAAGAGAAAGTTCGCTTGATATGCGACCGACAACAAGTTGCTTCGAATTGTCAGAAGTCCTACGCCGACCTCAGGTGTAGAGAGATTGAGTATAATAATGATGATTGGGTATTCCTTAAAGTTTCCACATGGAGAAAGGTGTTGAGATTTAGAAAGAAAGGCAAGCTAAGTCATTGGACCATACTAGGTCATTGAACGGGTAGGACCGGTGGCTTATAGGTTGGAGTTACCTCCAGAGCTATAGAAGATACATGACGTACTCCACATGTCTATGTTAGGAAGATACCGATCAGATTCATCACATGTTTTACTCGAGGGAGCAGTCACCCTCGACGAGAGTCTCACTTATGATGAAGAACTCGTATATATCCTAGCGTGTGAAGTGAAAAAGCTAAGGAACAGGACAGTCCTCGTGGTCAAGATGCTTTGGCGAAACCACGCAGTGGAAGAAGGAAACTGGGAGACCGAGAAGTCTATGAGAGCTCAGTATACTCAACTCTTCAATAATCAATGACTTAGGTAATTTCAAGGACAAAATTATTTTAAGGGGAAGAAAAATATAACACCCTAAAATCCAACCTATCAGAATTAATTAATTCAAACTAATTAATTAATTAATTATTGAGACAAACTCGGTAGAATTATGAAATATTCTTTGTTTGATAAAAAGATTAATATCGTTATGTAGGATTCGACGGAACGAATCCAACGGTGCAAAAAATCCTGATTTGGAGCCCGTGGGCCCGAAAAGTCCTTTTTGGACGTGACACATTAATTAATATAGAGCCCAAAACCTCAAACCTAAAAATAAACTGCTTACATGCCTCCCCATAATTTACGTAAAACTCGCCCCTCTTTCTCTCTCGTTTCTTCTCTCGTGACCGAAGAACAGGAGCACTGAAGTCGGTTAGAATGTTGCCGCCAGCACTGAATTCTCGTTCAACTGCTACGGTTGATACCGGAACGGATAACACTTGTCTTGCTAGCATGCCGAGACATGGGAACATGTGTTCGTTCCGCTTCCACCATCCGAGCATGTCAAAATCCACTTCGTCCTCATCGGAATCGCATGGCACACCCTGGTAAATAGCAAGTTCGTTGTGCGAGCTTACTGTTGTACCACTAGAACTCGTCGAAGAATGAACACGCTTCCCTTTTTTTGCAAGAAGACCACCGACTATTCCGGCAAAACCTTTTTTTGATTTCGGGGGCGGAGGTGGTGCTGTTTCTTCTTGTACAGTGCCGTATAACCCTTGATATTCCTCAAACAAATTCTCAAAAAAACTTACAGCATTATCTCTTTCTTTTTTCCATTCTACTAAATAACTGTAGTAATAACTATTTTCATCTAAAAAACAATTGTAGTAATACTCAATTAAAATTTTATAATTTTCAATTTTAAAGCGTGGATCACAAATAATACCTATTTTATAAATATCAGGAATGTACAAATAATAAGAACACCATTTTTGTATCATAGGAGAGACATATGGGTACAAATCCGGATCAGCCTTACTTTCACGAAAACATGTTGCGATTGTAACGCACTCTTTTAAAAATGTATTTGTAGTTGGTTGGTAAACATGAGAAAAAGTAAGAGTTGCGTTATTAAAAACTTCTAATACGGCATTCAATTTTTCAACAATAACAAATTCAGAAGGATCAATGATTATACGAAGTTCATCACTAAAAAATTCAGCAAGTTCCTCTTTATATTTTAGAATCTGATGAATCAATTTGTATGTACTATTCCATCTAATGTGGATATCTTTTGCAAAAACTATTTCTTTTCTACCTTTAGACTTACAAAACATCTTCCATTTTTTCGAAACAAGACGAGCCCCCCAAATTCTTTTAATTCCTTCTTTAATATTCGTCAAAACTCCGCCCATAGCTTCTAGTCCCTGTTGAACACATAAATTTAAAACATGACAGGCACACCGTTGATGCAGAAATCTACCCATAGCCGTAGACGGTGTGCAAATTTCTCTAAGTCTAGGAATGGCTGCAGTATTATTAGTAGCATTATCAAAACCAAATGAAAACACTTTGTCAGATAAGTTGTATTCCCACAGAATACTCTGAAGCAATAGGAAAATATTTTCAGCAGTATGCTGTTCATTGAAATCACGAAATGCAAGAACACGTTTATGCATAATCCAATCACTATCTATCCAATGACAAGTAACACCCATATAAGACAAATTATGATAAGTTTCACTCCAAATATCAGAACAAATAGCAACACGATAATTAAAATTTAGAAAAAAATTTGCCAAATTTATTTTTCCATTTTTATACTGACAAATAATTTCTCGTTTAATTGTTTTTCTTGAAAAACCTCGTGCTTGAGGGTTTAATGCATGTTGACAATAATCAATAAAACCAAGTTTCTCAGAAAACATGTATAGCAAATTTTCTTCACAAATCATTTTGGCCATTTTTTGCTTATTTTGCTCGTCGCTATAAGCAAAAAGGCCGCCCTTACCTCTGTTAGCAAACCGAGAAATTTGGGTTTGCACTTCTTGTCGTCCCTTCTTTTTTGCCTCGTATTTGGCAAACTCCACGGGATGCCTCGACCTTAGGTGTTTTTCCGGACCGCCATAACCGCCGGAGACTCCCATTTTTATGACGGTCCCACAATGTTTACAAGTTCCATAAACTACG